CTAGTGTTTACTATGCCACAAATTAATTATTACATATTATAACATGTGTTCTATATATTGAATGTACAAAAATAATACAACTCAACTAATAATAATATGGAATGCACCTTCTACCATTATTGAATATGTATATTTTCTTTAATGCTGTTATTTATTTTGAAAATGATCATACTTTATTATTGCTATCATTGTTTGTTTTTAAATAATTGTATGTTGGTTAATCTTAATCTATTATGTGATTATTCTATATATTATTACTCTGTTATTGCTACTCTGTTACTGCTGTAAATATATTGTCATTACTATATATGTACTTAATGTAACCATTTCACATGACCTGATAAACAACATGAGAAATTACCTCTATAAATAATATAAATATCCTCACTATCGTAATATTGAATGTATTTATCCTTGTAAGAATTGTTTGTAAAATTATGTTGATGTACTTTACTCCCGGTAATGCTGTTATGCAGGGCCGGGATATGTGTGTTCACACCTTAATAAATTAACGATTGATTGATTGATTGATTGTATTTTAAACTTTAATTTACATATAAGGGAATGTTTACAAACCATGTAGCTCAGTTGAATGGGATAGGAAGTAAGTCAGTACCTACCATGGACCACTAAAAAGGGGAGAGAGTCTGGCTTTGGTCATAGCCTAGCCTCTTCTTAAAAAATTATTCTGACCTACAGTATAACAAACAGTGTGTGTTGAAATTTCATGTTATAGACATAAGTGATCTATGTTATGTGGAGGCATTTGGAGGATACCAGTATCAGGGAAACTATTAGCAGAAACAGTATGAACAGAGAGATGATAATTCATCAATATTGATTGAGAACTCTCACTCACTGCTGTTGTATCACTGGTGATGCAACAGCATTGTGAGTCTGTGTAATTTCACAATTATAATTATTTAATTTAACTCATATTTACAAAAAATAATATTGTGAGATTTCTGATAAACCGTTTTATTCTAATTTGTCTTTTTTAGTTATTTTCAGTTGATATTAAAACTTGGAAACGAGGTCCCTAAATTGGTAAAATAGGTGAATTTCGTCCTAAAGCTTCGGTTGTTATTAAAGGTTTTAACAAAGTTTAAGTGAATACATAATTAGCNCCTAGCCTCTTCTTAAAAAATTATTCTGACCTACAGTATAACAAACAGTGTGTGTTGAAATTTCATGTTATAGACATAAGTGATCTATGTTATGTGGAGGCATTTGGAGGATACCAGTATCAGGGAAACTATTAGCAGAAACAGTATGAACAGAGAGATGATAATTCATCAATATTGATTGAGAACTCTCACTCACTGCTGTTGTATCACTGGTGATGCAACAGCATTGTGAGTCTGTGTAATTTCACAATTATAATTATTTAATTTAACTCATATTTACAAAAAATAATATGGAATATAATATAATTTCAAAATAATAAAAAAGTTATAAAATATGTATTTTTTATGTTATTGTGACAATGCCGAAGGGCCTCCCTATACTTCGGTACCACGTGACCAAAGGGTCGACATCGCATCGGCAAAGATCGCAATGACAAGTTTCGCCAGGACTGACACCACTGTGTCTTTACGGACAGACACAGAAACCGTTGTGTTCTTGCGCAAACAATTGCGTGTGTGAGCGAACGGATTTGGGATGGAGAGAGAGACCGCGCACCGGAAGTGACTTACTCAGAGACGGGCTAATGTAACAACTATTTAATTGGTAACTATAGGCCATACAGAATATAAAATATATCGATTTGAAATATGCTAGCTGTTAGAGATCTTTGCTACAATTGATTTGAGATATATATATAATAGACATTAAAATGGATCTAAGATTTTGGTTACAGTTCCGCGGTTCTCGAGAGAGAGAGTTTACATAAGTTGCACATGGTGATAAATACCTTGAGTTTTAGTGAGTTACTAGTAGGTATTGACAACGAAGTTAGTCCAGTTAGGCAATCAAGTATTTTGGGTCGATGTTAATCCAGAGAATAGGCACTTAAATAAGTCCGATGGTCCAGTGAAAAGCACAACGCACACAGAAAAAGATACAGAACTTGAGACTGATCTCTTCGAGGACAGGGCAATGACTGCCCACTTTGTTGTTCTGTTTTCAGGTTGGATTGTTGAAACAGAGATTTGAGGTCAAAAGGTGATGAGAAAGCGTCGTTAATAAGCCTGAGAACTTAATAGATGTTTAGCTCCCATGTTTAAAAGTTGACAGTTATTGAACGAAAGTATAGCTACACTGTGAAATGATGAAATGAGATAAACATACCGGATTTGCATCCTCACATTATTGTAAAACTTATTTTTACTAAACTTAAACTTTTAATATTAAAGAATACATATTCTACGATTTTATGTAGTACTGGATTTTCCCAAAAATAAAACCAGGTCTTAAATTAATTTTTGCTTCAAAAGATGCCTTAGGTCTTATTTTTGGGGATGTCTTTTCCAATGGTGTCTGCTTGGGTATTTACAAATGCTTAATTATAATTTATATTATCATTTATTTTAGGCATTAATGTCAATAATCATGATGGTGTTCCATGGATTAATACATTGTAGGTGAATGAACTAATGTAATTGTTTATAAAGCATATGAAATGAAAAAAACCAGTGATATCTCCAAAAAACATACCTGTAAACCTTACAAGTATAGAAACTGCAGTCAAGCATGCATAGGTCAATCGTTTCACATTATTACCATTTCATCTTAGATGTACTGTACATGAAACATGTTTTAGTATGAAACCTTCATTCAATGACTATGTTTTACATTCATAATTATGCCAGAAAACCTTTGATTGCACTTAGAACATCTTCATATTGATAAAAATTATCTGTTAGCTACAAAAGGCAAATCGGCTGTGGCCTTTTGTAGTTGACAGACTTTTACAATGTTGTGTATATATCATTAAAAGGGCCTTTTTTTCAAGCCTGTTGTGGGTTCAGTCAGCCCTACAGTGGGGCAGCTGAGTGGTAATGGATAGGGCCTGACATATGAGACAGACCACTCCTGAAAAAAATTCTTGAGTTTTTTTCCTGTAAATATTTGGAGTTTTCAAAAGAGCTCCTAATTTATACAGTGTTTTGAGAAATGACAAAGATAGACTTAGAAAAGATGAAAAAGCAGGATTATACAGAATTCCATTTGAAAATTAGCAATTGAGAAAAAAAGACTATATTGGGATTACAAGACGGAATCTAGCAATTAGACTTGAGGAGCACAAGTATGGCATTAAAAAAAGGCACTGCAACACAGTTTTGTTCATTATGGTACAGGTAGAGGACTCCATAGTTGGAATGAAGCGAGTATCTTCAGGGCTGTGTTCCCCATCGTTACCAATGAACAAAGAAAAAATTGAAATTTATAAAAGCAAATTAAAGGACAGTTGCATAAATGCCAGGGATGCAGGTGGACTACTTTCTGCATAGAAATTTTGCATAAAAGAAAAATTAAAATATGAAAACTTTTAGTCAGNCTAAAGTTAGCGATGAATACTGTTGAAAACAATTATGTCAAAGAAAAACAGCATTATTCCAAACTTTGAACCTGCTATAGACCTTAGCTATAGAATTCTGCTTAACCTGAAGCAGGCCACTGAAGGTAGCTGAAAATGTTCATTTTTAATTAGTGAATGCCGGATAGTGAGAGGAAGGTGTAAATTATTTTACCTTTGTGTTTTATTTGTTTAATTGTTAATTTGTCTTATATTTCATTTTAAATTTAAATGTAAGAGTTTGGATGTTCCTTTGTTAATAAAATGTTCCATTTTTGAAAAGGTGTTTGAATTCAGTTACACCTGAAGATGGCCTGTTGTATTAGGTTGAAAATGTTTGTGTTTTGTTTAATAAACATTTTTCAGCAACAGAAGGTGGTATTGATAATTGATAAATAAAATTGATTAAATATGCACAAAATGGTAGCACAAAAAGGAAAATATGTCCCAAAATAGCACAAAAAATAATATATACATAAAATTGTAAAATATGCAAAAAAGCACAAAAAGGAAATTGTCCAATGAGTGCTATTTGTTGGAATTTGTGCATATGTATAGTCATACTGAGACTGACACTAAATACCATGTATGGAATAATAGCTAGAAATCCATGCTCTAATTATAATTATGTATGCTCTTCAGATAGGGTTTAAAAATAAGGCTTTGTTTTGGGGGTCGGGAATGGATTAAATCCAATTTATATTGTTTTGTATGAAAAAATAAGCTTCAGTTTTAGAACAAATTAGTTTTTAAACAACTTTCAGGAATTAAGTTCGCAAACTGAGGTTTGACTTAGTTTAATAATGAAGCACTCCAAACATTAAAAAGCTTTCAGAAATATTGTTTTATTAAACATTAAAAAGTAACACACTAGGAAATAATATATTAATTTTTGCCATTAATTACGTTAACCTTTTTGTTTTTTCTTTTTAAAAATAAACTCCATTTTTCATAAGAAGCAAAATCTTCTGAAACAAGAAATTTGACCATCTGTTATGCCTTAGGATTTTAATTCTCTCTGCAATACTGAATACAAGTAATTTTTATATGGGAGTGGAAGATGAAATTGTTGTGTTTATCATATCAGTCTCATTACTACAGAATAAATTTTAAGACTACTACTATTATATTACATTTTTTTTAATTATCAGAAAAGTAATTCAACATCTCAATGCTATTTACACTTCCTATTGGTAAGTGATACATGACTTCATCACATCCATATTCATCAGCTGTGTTGTCTGCATTTATACTTTGCATCAAGAAGTTTAAGAGTTAAGGTTTACTTTGCCATTATCTCTGGCACTGTTGAATCTTTAAGTTTTTCATTGATGTAATTTAATAATAAAATTGTCATGTTTTTTATTGTTTTTGATTATTAGAAGAAACATTCTTATATTATGCTGTTTAATATTAAAATTATTAAATTTATTATATTTATTTTTATAATGTTTGTAATATTAATTTAATATTTATGTAGTGCACAGCAGGATGCAATTTTTGAACTTGTTTCCATATGCCAAAATTATGGAATATGGCTAATGAAACATGCAGCTATGATTGCAGGCAAAGATGAGTAAGTACTATGATATATATTATACAGAAGTTGTAAATCTATGTTATATATATATTTGTTATTATTGTACTATCCATTTTGTATCATAAAATGTTAAACCGAATAATATAACATTTTTCAGTTTTAATAAATGTTACTAGTAATTACAATTAGTAATTAAATACATTATCAATATCTCTTTACAAAATAATAAAAATGGCCATTTTTTTTTAAATGCTTAATTTCCAGAATTTATAATAAAAAAACGAGTATTTTAGGAAAATGTTATTTACATAAAAAGGCAGCAGTACAAACAATAAAATTGGCAGTGTAAGTCTGCAGAAACATATTCATAAAACTTTTCATTCCAAAAACATATTTAATACAGTTGAGTCTGCATAATTCGACACCCCAAGGGGAAGTGGAAATGTGATGAGTTATCTGATATGATGACTAAAACAAAGTTGAAAGAAACCACAAAACTACAATTAGGAAAATACAGTAGTGCTTTATACAGTACATGCAATGTATCTCTCTGACCATCCATCACTGACACTAAACACTACACTCTAAACACACTCAACCTTAAATGACCAGTAAAATATTTAAAAATACTACAAACGTTTTCGACCATTATTTCCGGTCTTCTTCAGGCAGAAAGTTCCGAGATTCGAATATCCGTTGTACTTGAAAAAATTTAAATTATTCTTAGAACGTATGAACCGATGCGTATAGACATTCATACTGCGCGTTCTTACTATGCATAGCTTATACAAATGAAATAATATATTTTTTAACACACACATATAAAAAACCCATGGAGATCCGGATTAAATAGGGTCTTCCCGTTCATATTAGAGCTTCCAAATGTTGGAAATATTAATAGCATCCTTGGAGTTGATGCAGTTGTTGTGTAGCCCAGCTTTGTATATTTCGAGAGTTTCCAGCGAATGTATATGTTCTCTTCAGCTTGATATATTAATTATTTGGGCATCATGCAGGTCCACTCTTATGCCCAGGGTCGAAGCATAAGTACACAAGGCAGTGGTGCCCCTTTTATGTTCAATGTCATATTTGTGTTTCCGTAGACTCTTATCTAGAGAACGTATCGTAGAGCCAATATATACAAGGTCCCTTTGAAAAAACCTATGGTCCCTTAATGGAACCAAGTATACCCCTGGAGCCAATCTTATGTTTATGCAATCTTTGCAGTTGCGGAGGAAGTCATAAACATTACCCCGTCTTTTATATGTAATTTTTTTGTTCGTAATTGCCGCAATTTCTCTATAAATAGGGTCCAGGTGGTGGTTATATTGAACTACAGCCCAAGATTGTGGATTGTTTGAGATGCTAGTGCTTGAGTTGTTGTTATTAATATTATATAATTGCGACCAATAGGCACATGCCAGTTTCTTGATTAATCCCCGCTCGTATCCATGTCCATAACCAACTTACCAACTTTAGTGGTAAGTTGGTTTCTACTCCAAGTACCTCAGCGATTTCCATCACTTTTTGTTTCAGTATAGGCTCCAAAATAGAAAGATTTGATGAACGAATTTGCTTTAGCCAATGTACTAGAGCATCTTTGACATCTTTGTATGGCGACTTTCTCTGGCGTTTTCAAGACAGCCATGATGAAAACCCGAGAAAAAGTTTCTTAATTTCCTCTTTTTTCTTCAGAATTCCCATCAATGTTGTTCTTGAAAGGTTTTCTTGTTTTTCAAATTCAGCTTTCAAAGTTTTCTTACATTCAAATTCAGATACAAGTTTGTATTTTTCCTTCAGCGTAAATGTTATTAGGTTTCGGATACTCATTTCTAATTGAAATGTGAAATACTTTCTGCAAATAATGCATGAATGAAAAGTGAGAAAATGCAAAACCGGATTCTACCGTGACATTAAGCTGTGTGGTGTAAACTCATTTTTTTCATGAGGGGAGTCGACTTACTAGACATCTGAACGAGTGTGGGACAGAAAAAGTATGTCGATTTATCCAACGGTGAGGAGTTAAACGGTGTCGAGTAAACCATAGTTTTTTAACATAATGCCTATGTAAGTTGGCCGGGAGCACAGAAACTGACTACTTAACCAATGGTGTCTAGTTATACCTATGACAACTTATGCAGACTCGACTGTATTTTCTGTTTTAAGGAAGTGTAATAAATTTAGCATATGACCAGCTAATTTTTCCATTGATTTAAAATGAGATGTATATCAGAAAGAGAAAACAAGATATACAAGAAAAAAACATGTTGTTTTCTTGCCAGATTTTCTAGTTTCATGGATGCACTTACTGTAAAGTGTTGATTATCCGAATCAATTGGGGACTGGGGTTGTTCGGAAAATCGATATATTTCGGATAACCGATTATGTACAAAAAAATGTATTAACCTATCCCATGTTGAAATTTTCCTCTGTTGTGTGTCGCTTTGAATTTTCATCGCTGTTAAGCCTAATGAAGACTATTGTATCATTAAAAATTATTTTTTTATTTTGTACAAACAAAATAAATATATTGAAAAATATAAAAACAATAAAAAGTTATACTTCAGAAGTTAATTTAGTATCAAAAACGTAAAATATTTGAGTAGCCCAAGACATAGCCAAAGATTGCAGCGCCACAGCACTGGTGAAATTTAAATTTGCCGAATGGTATTCTTTCAGATGATTGACTTTTGGATAATCGACGCTCTACTGTATTAACAAATCACATGAGTGATTTGTTGATAAGTGCATCCAGTTTTTTTAACTACTTATATGTTATTTATAAATTATATATTAATTTTTAAAGTTTTATATATTTAAAATACTAAAATAAAAAAATAACTGATTTAGTATACAATATATAATACCTGGGGACCCAAAAATAATGGGAATAATTTTGTGGAGGATGGGAGATTTGTAGTATGTGTATCTACCACTAGATGTCAGTAGATAGAATCCTCTTGAATCAATATGCGAAGCGACATCAGCATGTCAAGACTTGTTGGCCTGTAGTAACGTTTTTGTGAGAGCTCTTTTTCATTTTCATAAAAAATGTGATGTCAGATTTTAAAGAGAAATGTGCTGCTGTGAAATTTTGTTTCCTGTTAGGGAAAAGTAGATTGAAAATGGTTGAAATGATTCAGTGTGCTTACAAACAAGATGCCATGAGTGAGACAAGTGTTTGCAAATGGTTGTCCCGTTTTCACAAAGGAGAAATATCTCTTGAGGATCAACCCAGGTCTGGATGTCAAGCCAACATTTGAACTGACGAAAATGTTGAGAAAATTCGCAGTCTCATCAACAAAGATTACCGTCAAATATTGATGAACTCAGTGATTTGTCTGGGATTTCATAGAGTTTGATTCAGCCAATTATTGTTACAAGAACTTGGCATGAGAAGTTTATTCCGCACTTGTTGACTGCCAATCAGAAAGGCAATCACTTGGCAGCTTGTCAGGTTTGAAAGAACATTTGGAAAATGATCCAGACTTGTTTTCTAAGGTGATAACTGGTGATGAATTGTGGTGTTATGATCCAGAAACCAAATGTCAATCCAGCCAGTGGAAAACATCAGGATCTCCTTGTCCCAAAAAAGCATGACAAGTGACGTTGAATGTGAAAACCATATTAATCTGTTTTTTTGATGTGAAAGGATTTGTTCATTCTGAATTTGTCCATCCAGGCCAGACAGTCAATTGACATTGTTATCTGGAAATCCTTGGAAGACTTTGTGATGCTGTGAGAAGGAAAAGAAGGGACTTGTGGCAAACGGGGGATTGGTTTTTTCATCATGACAGTGCACCCGCTCACATGGGGTCTTCATGCAGCAGTTTTGACAAGAAATGGCATGACCCTCCTCCCCATCCCTTATATTCCCCTGATCTTGCATCTTGCAATTTTTTATTTTGGGATGAAGAAGGAACTCAAAGGGAAGCTATTTTAGACAGTAGAAGAGGTGAAAACAGACAACAGAGGTGCTAAGTGGCATTTCATAACAAATTTTCTAGGTGTTTTGAACAATGGAAAAAATGTTTGGACAAGTTTGAGGCTAATGAAGAGTATTTTGAAGGAGATTAAAATACGAAGTTGTTAAAATAAATACATGATTTTTTCCCATTATTTTTCTTTCCCACCACATATATATATTTGCTGTATAATATAATAGGATCTACTGCATAATCCTTGCAATTCAACTCTGTTTATTTGATTCTGTATTTTTACAATTAATATAAACAAATAAAATAGGATATTTCTTGCAATAAATATATAGTATTTTAGAAAGTATTAAAAATTTTGATAAACAGCATATAAATGATTTTCCTGTACTGTTGGTGTTGATTAAATAGTAATTTCAGTTTGGTAGTTGGAAATGAAGATTTGGCGATAATTATTCATTTGATAACTACAGTACAAATAGGTTACTTTAGTTTATTTAAATATAAATTTTTAATATTTTGTAATGATTGAAAATAGTGCTTACTTTCTGTAGAGATAAATATATTAAAAAGAAAANTTTTTGTATGTAACTATACATAAAAACAAAATAAAAATATAATTGTATGTAAATAAACAAAGGTAATAATAAGTTTTATTCATGTAAGAAAATTTGATTTGATTTATAGATAAGAATTACAGTAGAAGTTAATCTGGCATTTATGAGACCAGAATGGTGTCAAATTACTGGAAATTTTTGTACTTTTGCAAAATTTGGTAAGTGATATGCAGTGTGAATGTTAAGGATGTAAATAAGAAAAAATTACAACATACATTCTATTAGAAGCAAAATTGTGAAAATAAAACTGCTGTAAATGTTTAAAACAATACAAATTTTCAAGGTTATCTGCATGAAAAACTTGCTATGTCTGTTAGGGAAACTGGTTCTTGTAGTTGAAAGGTTAATAACTTGATAATCTAATGGATTTTATTGAATGAGCTTACATAACTTTATTTTAAATATTGAAAGCCAAAACTTCCTGAATAGTTGTGAAAGATCCCTGTCTTGCTTCCAAGTGCATACTGAAACTATCACATCTCAG